ATCCATTTCAATGATCTCCATTATTATTCTGCAAATGTGTGTGTGTATGTGAATGTGCGCGTGCGTGTTGGCATTCCATAATCACGTACATGTTTGCATCATCATCGTCATCATCAGAGGGAAAAAAATTACAAATGGAAAAAAACAGTTACAATGATTTACTTGAAAGAAAATTTCAGTTTTTGGATAATTTATGTTTAACTTGAAAAGGGAAAATAAATTCTGAGGTGGATACTGCCTTTTCAACTAACTAACGCATCATTAATTAAATCACCACACACACATTCAACGTACACGCACGCACACATGCACGCACGCACAACACACACACACATGTTGATGTGATGATATTTTGATATTATTGTGTTGATATGGTGATGTTTTTGTCATGATGTTGATGTCTCCAGAGAACATAGCAGTAACAGTTTCATTCCAGATTAACTGTTCCCATCAAACGTTTCATTCGGTTCGCGATGGACTCCGTTCAATGTTTTCCTCTCAGTTTTTGTTTATAGAATTTTTTTTTAATTATGTAAATGATATTTTTCAAAAATTTTAAATATTTTAAAAACCAGATCAAAATTTAAATTTAAATTGGTAAAGATTGTAATGCTAAAAAACTTTGCTCAATGAACTTGCCAACAAATAATTTTTTTAAACGTACTAACATAGATGATTAAAGAGACGAAATGAATTTTAATTTATGCAGAGTAGCTCAGGTACACAGATAAACGAAAAAAAAAATACTTTTATAATGTTTATTATTAATAAATACATTACACATACTTACATAACGTGCATACATACATAAATACATTATGCATGCATACATGATACATATTAATAGAAACACAACACAGTTGCACTTTACAACACGCAATATTTGCACTATTCTAAACATGTTGCTTGATACACGGGGGAGCGAAACATCGGTAGTTTCCGTATCAACCATTCAAAATCTTATTTTTTTCATCTCGCCTTTGCGTTTTGCTGTTCTGCTTGGATTAAATATACACACGTGCATCAACGTGCTGATGGATTCGGTGATTAATTGTTTTGTTCATTCATCCACTGGTTCATTCTCTCACTCAAGCAAGCACATTAGTTTATAAATTTTTTAATTTTCAGCCTCCGCTCATTCGTCTAAATGTTCACATTATTCTTCTTTAGTTCATGTTTTTATTCATCCACTCATCCTTTATTTAACCGGTTGTTCGTTTAACAGCCTCAACTCATTCATTCATTTCATCATTTTTCTTTTCATCGTCTAATTCAACTTCTTTCTGTTTATTTTCATAGACTTTTTTATTTATTCAATGTTTTTCATCGTTCATTCAATGTTTGTAACTAATTCATTCATTCCTTCATTCCCTCGTTTGTTCATTCATAAAATTTTTGATCTTTTTTGTTTTCATCTAACATCGGTTTAATTATTTTCATCCCTACATACACACAGTATAACCGTGGGTAGCAGAGTCACAGGCATAGGGGAGCATGGGGCCGAACTCCCCGATGGAAAATGGTTAAGATAAAATTTGTTAAAAATCTCGATATAAATTTGTAAAAATCTGTACTCAAAACTATTTCAGCTTTCCAAAACATTAAAATTAAGTTAAATTTTGTTAACTTTGCGCAAAATCCACTGGTTTCAATAGCAAACTATGTTAACAATTGTGTGGAAAGCAAACTTTTTGAAAAAATTTAACTCCCCCAAAGCAAATTTGTGGCTACGCCACTACCCAGTGGCAAATATTTATTTAATTTTCTGGAAAATAAATTTATAAATAAAATTTTGAAATAAAAATAATATTTGGTTTATTTATATTATATTTTCCTGCTACTGTCGTTATTTTCAATTAAAAGCAACATATGAAATGAAAAAAACTTCGCGATAACGAATCCATTGAGTCGTGCATCTCCATGATTCATATCTAAAAGGATTGGATGGTAGATGGGGTGCGGATGTTTTTGCATTGAACGATATTAATTTATCCCTTATCTCGATCGCAGAAAAATGATTTAGCAGTTATTAATTTGTGTATTAATATGAACAGGAAAATAATAACATTAATAACAACAACAATAATAATTAATAATAACAATAAAGATATAATAACCAACTAAGGAAAAACCATGTAAAATATTTACTTTCTTTAACGCGCAGCGTCTGTAAAAAGGAATAGATGAAAGATACACGCACAGTTCAATAGATTTACAGAATAAAAAACAGTCATTACCTTATTATATATGTTATATATTGTCTGTACTAAACCTATAACCTTACTAGAAAGATCCGCACACACACACACACACAAAACACACACACACACACACACATAGACATACACGCGCTCACTTGCACATATGCTAACACGCATAACATACACTCGCACCATTTTAAAATACTCTAAATCTCTTAGTTTATTACACCTACGTGTTTTCAACATTTGCTGATTCATACGGCCTGGTCAGTAAAGATCATTAGTAGCATTAATAGTTTAGTGGTTGGTTGGTTGACTAGTTTGTTGGCTGATTTGTAGGTTAGCTGGTTTGTTGGTTGGCTGGTTTGTTGGTTGGCTGGTTTGTTGGTTGGCTGGTTTGTTTGTTGGTTGGTTGGTTTGTTGGTTGGCTGGTTGGTTGGCTGGCTGGTTTGTTGGCTGGCTGATTTGTTGGCTGGCTGGTTTGTTGGCTATTTGATTAGTTATGTCAATCTGTTGTTAACGGGAATTTTTATGACTGTTGGTTCGAGGTGTGGTGTTGCATATTTTGGTTCCCTAAACATACGTACACGCACACACATTATCATTCAAATCTGTTTTCTTTGTTTGCTAGAACAAGCACCATCCTTTTGTATTTTTATAATTTTTTATTTTAATTTATCATTTTACTTTTTATCTGTTAATTTATTCATTTTTTCGATTGTGTTGTACAAAGTGTGTACTAGTTTTTTTGTAAGGAAAACGAAGCGTGAATAAGAAGCCATCTGAACATCAATCTGATTACAATCTATATTCAATCAAATTAACGCTGATAGATAAGATATATAGAGAGATAGATAATTATCATGATATAATTGAACGAATGACTGATAACTAAACCACAAACTAAATAAAACCGTTAATAATATTCTCAACAACAATAACGATGATGACATATTTATGGACCATATATAAAACGTCAACATCAAACAACTACATCATTAATTACTATTGTTCGTTTGACTCATTCACTTCTCACGCATAAATAGTCAAACGCTCCATCCCAATTAAAATAATATATTTCTTATATTATCTATTATTTTATTTGAAAATAATTTTTATTGATATATTAAAGATATATATCAGACTATAGGAAAATCAAGGGATAGTAGTTGAGTAACTTAATAATAAATTTGATGAATAAAAATATAAACATAAATCAGTGAACAAATAAAGAAAATAAATAAACAAAATAGAGTGCAAACGGACGAACGACAGACGAACGAACGTACGAACGAACGAACGAACGAACGAACGAATGAATAGTTGAATAAATGAGTAGCTATGAATGGCTTTTAAGGCTTGTAACAGCTAAGCTCGCACACATTCACACACGACTGTTTGTTATGAATAAAGAGTTTGGCATTAAATAGCACAATATGTTATGCGAGTAGTACTGCGCTGTTGTTATTGTTGTTGTTGTTGTTGTTGTTGTTGTTGTTGTTCTTGTTGATGTAACGGTTTTTGTTGTTGAAACGGTTCTTGTTTTTAAGGTTTTTATTTTTATTTTTTTGTTGTTATTATTATGTTATAGCTGTCTTTTGTGGTTTCGCTGATCAAGACCAATGAACAATTTTTTGGGTAATGTGGAATCAATAAATGATCGTTCATTCTGCATGTTTAATCAGCTAATGATTGAGTGAATGAATTGAATGAATAAATAAATAAAAGTAAAAAAGTAGGAACGAACGAACGAATGAATGAATAAATGAATTGAAATGCACTGCAGAACATTTTGACAGCCATCTCAATTGAACAAGCTTAACGTTAGGAATTTATTTCAATTCAGCTATCGACGTAAAAATTCATTTGCCAACTTATGACGATGACTCAAGAGGGTTTTTTTTATTTTAGAAATTAATACAGTAATGAATTAACAGCAGCACACACATTCACTTAAAGCGCATTTGCTGTTACATTGAAAAACCAAATTGGCACAACTATTTATCGTACGAAGGAAATAAACTGATGCTTTGTACGGATGGGTTCACATCTGATTTTGTTGATGATACAATTGATGAGGACGTGATTAGAAGTTACGTTACCTACTTTACTGATGTTGTATTGTCGCTAGTTAATTAAAAGTTTCATCACAAGCACGAAGCACCATCGTCATACAACTTTAAATGTACGCTACTGCTGCATATTACGTCAGGTTTTATTCTCAGTAGAAAATTTAATAATACTCAGAATTGACAAGCTGAAGATTCAATCAAAGCTTTAGTATAAACAAACTTATGATATTTAAACTTATATGTTAAACGAAGACCATCACAGAAATGAACTTACAGAAAATTAAGAAAAACAATTGTTCATATTGTTCCAATATGTCTTACCGTATAAATATAATTTATGGAAGAAAAAGAACTCATTGATTTATTTTATAAGCTAAGAAGCATCACACACAAACGTACAAAATCATACAAGACGAACCACGAACAATGCATTCCTTCATTCTAAGTCTATCTACGCGTCAATGTTCTTCTATATCTATCAAATATTTCTTAATAAATTTGGGAGGAATTTTCTAAATCGGTCCATTGTTTTCTTATGTATGTGAGAACATAAATTAATGCACACACACACATACACGTATATACACAAAAACACGCAAGCACACACAAACAGACATACACAGACAGACACACACGCACAAAATCACGCACACACGCACACATACTATCGATAATCGTGCGTCACAAGTAACGTTCTGTTAGCGCAAGTATTTTCACTTTCAGCTGATTAAATATGTGATAGCAATAAGGTGATGACAATAATATAATTATAATTAAATTATTAAAAAAATACTTAAAATAGTATATATATATATAATGTGTGTGTGTGTGTGTGTGTGTGTGGGTATGTGGGTGTGGGTGTGTGTGTATTATCATATATCAAAGTTAAAGTTAACAGGAAATAATGAAATAATGACAAGAATCCAAATGAACGTGCAAGTTAACTGGATATTTTATTTAAAAATAATAACAATAATGAAGCGTATATTTCGTTTACTAAGATAATTATTAAGAGTGATACAACAATTGGCAAACGCATTCAGATGGGTGAAATGTTTAATTTCAGATGTTTTTTTTTTAAAAAGAATGGTTAATGTTAAAAACTTCAAAAACTGTTGCGATGTGTGGGCGTTTGTTGATGTTGAAAGAGTTTGTGAGTGTGCTGCGTGATACGCACACTTTTGTATATATATATATATATATATATATATATATATATATATATATATATATATGTATTTGTACAAATATATTGTATATAATGATTTTATACACACACGTACTCACAAACATACAAACACACACACACGCACACTTAGATACGTGTACGTGTACATACATGTGTATGCTTACTTGTATCTGCAAGTTATACATCTTTACAATCTTGATTATGATTTTGTTATGTTTGAGTGTGTTTATGTAAAGGCCTTTGTGTTCTTTAAGATGTCCTTATTAATAAATTGAATGTGGGTCACACTAGCTCTACTGCTGCATCATTCGTTCGTTCATTCGTTCATTCATTCATTCGTTTGTTTTTTTTTCTCCATTTATTCATTCATTCATTCGTTCGTTCGTTCGTTCGTCCCTTCGTTCGTCCCTTCGTTCATCTATTCTTTCTGTTATTTTTGCCATCTCTTTTATGTTCCTCTATTTCTCTTCTCAATTTATTTCTGTAGCTCTGGTTATTTAATCATTTCCTTTATCTAACAATCTCTCTCTCTCTCTCTCTCTCTCTCTCTCTCTCTCTCTCTCTCTCTCTCTCTAGCTAGTTTTTCTTTTTCTCACTTTTAAGTAAAGAACATATGTTGACAAATAAGAATTAGAATTATGACATCACACACGCACACATACACATCACACCTTAAACACCCACATATGCACACACACACACACACATGTCGACAAATAAGAATTAGAATTAAACTATATAACAATAACATCACACACACACACACACACATGAGTATGTGTGTGTGTGTGTGTGTGTGTGTGCATGTATGTGTGTATAATAAGATAATTGATGACGATCAGAATAAAACCGCGCGTCTGACGCTAAGTATCAGTGTCCATAACATAGGACACTGTTTAAATTACATACTACTTTATTAAAACTTAGTCTGCTGAATTGTTAGATACTCAAGATCGCTTAAAACGCCTACATTAAAAAAGAATTTTTAACGCTAATTAATTTTTAATTTAATTGTTTTCCTGAATAATAATAATAGAATAATTTATAACTTCCATTAGAGTAATTATATT